ATTTAATAACTAAACTAACTAAGAATGAAAGAATAATAAAGTAAAATAAAATAAAATAAAATAAAAATGAATATATAGAAAAAATCTAATTCACGGTTCTATCTATACCCTCGACCGACTTATCTAATCAATTGTGATATCAAGTTCATTATCTTCCGGAATTACTAGCCCCAAATAGCAACATCCTCTGCTACCCGAACTTTTTCTTACTTTTTTTTTAACCGAGAAACCCTCTTCGGTTAAACCTGACTTATTGGACAGTCTAGAACACACTCTCTAGGTTCAATGAAATAGCTGCTTTAGAATCTAGAAAGATAGGCTAGTCTAAGTAGTAAACACAACCGCGCGGTTCACTTAATTAGGCCGTGTTATTCCCGACAGTTACCGGGTTGCGGTTGCTACCAACGAATTAAACTCAACAACAATTACGGATTACAAGTCTAATTCTAGTGTTAGACATTAAAAATTCTATTTAGGTGATCTATCTAAATAAAATCAAACACATCGTGGTTGATCAAATAAATTACACAAACAATTCATATAAATAGCAAAATATTCAATCACCGTAATCAATTAAATTTAACAATGTACGTAGGGTTCGATATCCCTATAACTAGAAATAAAAACAAAGCTAACATAATCAATAATAAATGAAAGAGGATAAAATTATTTCCTTTCGCGTATAAGTGCGGCCTCCCTCCGCGGTTGTTGGCTTCTATCTATCCTCTGCCTATGTAAATAATTCATTCGTTGCGTGTCTTCCCTTTCTTTCCCCCAGGCCTTAGTGAGTCTCCTTTTTACTATTCAAGTGCTGCTTGAATGTGCCCTCAATTCGTAAAGTTTTGTGGGCCCTTTTTATAATATTTATTTTCTTAATTAAGAGGCAGTTCAGACCTTTCCTAACATATTTTGAAATTAAAAATTGCGAAAATTACCCCTTCAAAATTTATTATTCCTTTTATTTGAAAAAAAAAACATCCACTATATAATTATCTGCAACATTACTGAAGTTGTTATATTTATTTATATATATGCTTGGATTTTATCATTATATTAGTTAGCTAATGGCGGATTTTATGGAGTATTAGTCAGTGGGGAGATCAAGTAGCATATGACGAAGGCGAGGTTGATGCTCGGGCTCGTTGCGACATCGACAATATATGTTGCATTTGTATATAGTATAGTTGTAGTATATGTTCCCGTCGACACAATCTCAATGACCCTGGACAATTTGCTTGTGAGCAGCAGCGACATACGAATACTTATGATCGGATCCATTTCATTGTTTATTTAATTTTTATTCATAATTTATGTTGGTATATTAGAAAGTTTCACGATCTGTTTCAATGTTTATTAGATGTTTTATTCATAGTTTATGTTTGGTATATTAGAAGATTTTTTTTTTGGTTGACGACAAAATTGACAAATGAGCAATTTTTTATGTTTTGGTTGATGATTATTTATGTTGTTTTGGATATTTCTCATAATTATGTATATTAATGGGTTTTGTTTTGTTTTGTTTTTATTTGTGTTTATTTTTAATTGTTGAGTACTTTACTGAATATATACTAACTATACACGCAATATATACTTCCCATTCAATACACCTGAGAGCTGAAAAAATTTATTGACTATAAACGCAACATATAATTCGTTGTAGCTGCAATTTTTACGAAAAAAAAAAACAATACATATATCCTCAGTCAAACACAATTAAAGAAACGACCAAAAGTAAAAATACGAAACCAAATATTTCAGTCAAGTAACAATACATATAATGTTAGTATATTATTGCAACATTTACTAAATATATGCTAAATATAAACGTAATATATACTGTTCATTCAAATCACCGATGTGTGAATTACAATACATTTTTTTATTTATCTCTCTTTAAAACGCATAAGCTGCGTGAATTAAGGGAGTTAGTTATTTTTCTTATATAGATTTTTCATTTCTCACTCTTTTAAAACGCATAAGCTGCATAAATTAAGAGAGTCAGTTTTTTTATTAGGTTAATAATATATTTGCATCTTCACAAATAAATTCCATCGAATTTGTAGGGATGCAATTATAAGCTGCCCCCTTGTAAATATTATCAAATCATGTGGTAAACATAAATTTCGCCTATTTATATTCTTGGAAAATATTGGGCCTTACTTCCCGCATGAATTGCATATGGGCCTAAATTTCAGCCGAACTCTAGCTAGTATGAAGTACTCCCATATTGCGCTAGGTGAAATTTCGTTAAGTGCCAAGTCGTCGACAAAATATTTCAATATCCCGAAAATAATCTATAAAAATATCATTGCACTTGAATCTATCCAAAGAAATAAATAAATCGAGAAATATATAAGTAATTATGATTGTATTAGATTTTGCAGAATCTTTGTATTCGGCCATATTAATTAATATATTAATATATTTTTATAAAATTTGCATGATTGCAAATATAAATAAATTTTTTAATATTTTATCGACCTCACTTAGGAGCTTAGTCCCCGTCTAGACGCTAGGCTTCAGTTCATCGCCTAGCGAGTACCTATCAACTTTCAAAACATGAATTGTTTTTGTGAAAATTGATAGAAAATATTATCTAAAACATTTAAGTTATTTTATTTAGCTATTATTGTAAACTTTAATAGAAAATATTACCTAAACCATTCAAGTAAAGTAAAATTTTAAGACGGAAATAAAATCCACTTAAAGCCCGTTTAAGCCCAAATCCATAACAAACCCAATAACAATTTCGAAGGAAATCATTGTATATACACATTGATCCGGAAACAACTCACCACCTCTCATTTTTCATTGGTTCATCCGCAGCACCCACACTGCCACACTGGATTTTTATTTTCATAACTCTGGCTTTTACTGGTCAAAGTTAAAATTTATGGATTCTACAATGTTTCATGAGAATTTTAAGTTTTGGTTATTTTTCAGATCTCAAAAGGCTGAACAAAGAAAGCTCTTGCACTGTACATGGGAGAAAAAAGGAAAAAAAGAAAAGAAAAGGCAATGGGTCAACTGGGTCATGGGATAGCGGGTTAATACAAATCTGTCCTAGCTAACAGTCGTTATATGTAGAGTTGTCAAAACGGGCTGACGGGATGAGTTGGTCCATAGTCCGCCAAAGCCCATCAAATTGCGGGGCTGGCTAGCCCGCCATCTTGGCAGGCCTGAGAAATGCAGGCCCAACCCTTCCTCACCTCGGTCTAACGGGTTTGGCCTGCCATTTAAATATAAAAAATGGTGGGACATTTTTAAATGTACTCAGTGATTTTATAATATTTGCAACCATACGAACCACTCCAATTTTTTCGCAAACTTACTTTATGAATGGATTTTATTTGTGATAAAGGAAATAACGGTTACTCCCAAGGTGAAGTCTCCTTAATTTGTGGGGTTTACCCCCAACAAATAGGCTAACTCTCCTTAATTTGTGGGATTAAAAGAATGCCGTTTTTATTGGAAAAAAAAATCTACAGAACATACAAGATCTGAAATCTACATAAAATACACGATCTGAAATATACAGAACATACACAATCACAAAAATCAGTCATCTTGCTGCTATAAACGCCAATAAAAAAATATACATAATATACACGATTACTAAAACATATATACAGAACATATACAGAAACGTCCATCAAAAAACTATATATAATATACACGATTAAAAAACATATATATAGAACATATACATAACATATACCTACAACTACGCAAACAACAACAAAAAATATAAAAATACTACATATATACAACATATATACCGTCTGGTCTAGTCCTCCGCTCAACTAAAACCTAACCACAAAATCAACCCAGGCCCTTCTTCACCGATGATACAGTCGTTGGCGACGTCGGAGCCAAGATCGTCGGCCCCCCCAACATCACCTTCACCAATTACCTCAGAAAGTTTTTATCTCTGCGCAGGTATTGACAACCGTTTGAAGATCGTCTCCAAATGTATCTTTGTCCCTCGAAAGCCTCTACAGCAATTCACCCTGAACTTCAGAGTCTCCTAATTTATTTTCTATTTTCCCAAAAAAAAAAAAATAACAAAAATTCGTCAAAATTGAAATAATCTTTTGCAAAATGGACACTTGAGGTAGAAAGAATTATTTACGGCATCTGCAAATTCAGGGATGGGGTCAGGATAGACGTAGGTCTGAGGTGAGACCGCCCTCGGAGGTCGTGAAAGGGTTCCCGCCGTGATGAATGGCGTATGGGCGCGCAGGATAAGGTAGGCGCCACACAGGCTAGCGTCGCTGGAGATTAGACTTTTTGCGGGAACGGAAGTCGGTGGCCGGAGGATTGAGTGGCTGCAGAACGACGCCATTTTGGTGGGATGAGGTCTGCAGATTCAATAAAATAATCGCACTAGATCCTTTTATTTCTATAATTATGTATTTCTCGTATTAACACACTGGCTAAGGATAATCGCACTAGTTCCCGCCGTGATGAATGGCGTATGGGCGCGCAGGATAAGGTAGGCGGCACACAGGCTAGCGTCGCTGGAGATTAGACTTTTTGCGGGAACGGAAGTCGGTGGCCGGAGGATTGAGTGGCTGCAGAACGACGCCATTTTGGTGGGATGAGGTCTGCAGATTCAATAAAATAATCGCACTAGATCCTTTTATTTCTATAATTATGTATTTCTCATATTACAGCAAATAAAAGGTGAGATTTTGTTAAATGTGCTAAATAAATTAATTGAGTCGTAAACATGCAATATTAATGATCTTATCTCGTGACAGGAGTAAATTTCTCAACAATGTTTACATTGGGCTTTTGAAATTTTTATGGTTATTTTATGTGTGTATCCTTTTATTCTCCAATTTTGTTTGATTTTGAATTTGACTTTTCAAAGTTTAATTGCTGGTATAGTTTGCACATGCCAATAATTTATTTGTTCTCATTTTTTTTTAATTGTAAAATTCTATTTTCAAATATTAAAATATTTATTTTATGTGGTAAGAGTTTATTTGTTAATACAGAATTATTATGAGTATTATTGATAACTTTAGAAAATACGATTATTGTCTTTTGATAATGTTTGTGTCTTGTAAAAATATTTCATAAAAATAGTTTTCTAATGTTGCAACATGATACAAAAAAAAAAAAAAATTAATCAATAGTTACATAAATATATTTTGATTGAGTTGATTATTAGCGTCATTGTAGCAGAGATGGGTAACACGTGTTTGATCTTGTGCTAGCCTAAAAAAAGGGGCATAAGGTCGAGTTCGACTCACTGAAGCTCGTGACAGCTCGAATCGACTTGCTCGTTTAAAAAACCTAAAACCCTAAACAAATAGTTCGTGAATAGCTTAGTTAAATAACAATTCTAGATTTGATTCATAATTTTTTGTTTGATTGATGTACAAAACATTTTTTTTTTCTTTAGTATTGTTGAATTGCTAATGTTTACTTTCATAACTCATTTCGATTTAATATTTTTTTAAAAAGGAAATACTAGTTTGACTTTGTTGATATTAGTTGTTATGAAACGTTCATGAATATTTCATTCAAACTTAAAACTAAAAGTATATAAAAATCACAATAAGTTAAAAAAAGTTCAAAAAAGTCCATGATAAAAGTCTTAAAAAGTCTCAAATAAGAATTCTCTGAAAGTCTCAAATGTCTACCAAAGTCATGAAAGTTTTACAAAGTCCACCAAAGTCACTCAGTTTAAAAAGTCTTAAAAAGTTTTTAACAATTTTAATTTAATACGCCCCCCATAAATTAATGTTTACATCACTGATAAATAAACCTTACAATCACTTTTCAGAAATCACTTTTCTCTTCTTCTGAAGTTCTTTTTCCTTCATTTTCAAAATTCCACGAAATTCAACTTGTTCCTCAACACGATGCCATCGTCCTTCAATCGGAAATACGGACGAATTGAAAGTACCTGACAATAGATATTCTGATTCTGGCGCAGTCGAGCTTGAACTGGAAAATCGTCAGCCAGACTACGAAGTTCGATGAGCAAATCAGCAGTTGAATACGTGGATGGAAGTGGAGGCGGATGTCGGACACTCGAAGGAGGAGTTCCAAGGCGGTGGTCGGAGGTTGGAGCTAGGCGAACGGGGTGAAAGTGAGCTTCAATTTTTAGGGCTTCTCAGTTTCTATTTTTTAAGGTGTGTTGACGGGATGATGAGACTTGGTGGAGGAGATGCTGCTGGTTGAATGCTTAACATAGCCCTGAAAGAATGAATAGATTCTGGAACCTTGGTGCTGAGAGAAAGAAAAAAGCTTTTATTTTTTTATTATTTTATTTCAGCGGGCTCGCTCATGGACTAGCCCGCCCCGCCTTAATCCGCGGCCCACTCTGGCTGACCCTTTTAGGCCCGTTTCCAGCCGGGCCTAGAAAAATCAGACCCCACCTGGCCCATTGGCGGAGTGGGGTGGGTTGGGCCGTGGGCCTAGGCCCGTTTTGACAACTCTAGTTATATGGTACAAATGTCTATTAAGTGGCCTAGACCAAGGCTTCCTCTTGGTCGACCAGGTTGACCAACTTCATTAATATTTTTAAATATATACAATACTATTGTATGTATATAAAATATTATTGATTAAGTATTTAAACAATTAGAAATATTGAAATGCATAAACTAATTGATAAATACTCTATATATATATATATATTATATTTAAATGTGTTATTTTATTTATTTTACAAATATTATTTAACATATTATTTTATTTAAATAGACCAATTCCAACGGTGGTTTTTGGCCAGTTCCACCTGTCAACGATTGGTTTAAGCACAATTTAAGACATCGAATATGAGTGGTGGGACAAGTGGTTTGGCCACCTTTAGCATGAGGTTGCCAATCCAATATTCGCCGAGTTATTTATATTCAATTTTCATGATTCTGGGTCTCCTACAACTTAAGTTATCGTCATCTTTGTAAACATTGAAAATAAATTATCCCGAAAACCCTTCCCTTTATCTCGTGTCCATACTTACGCTTTATTTTCCTTAATGTCATAAACATTTTTTTTTTGCATGTTTTTAAGACGTATTTACGCTAACTTAAAATTAGAAAGGATTTTTGTACACCATAAATAAGAGAAATGATTTTCCAAAATAGCTAAAGCACAAGGTCAAAGTATCTCTCTCATTAATTATCTCTCTCACCGTCTGTGAGAGAAGAGAAGACATAAATAGAGGTTTTTGAGTTTATGAAACAAGAACCTAAGACGAAAAGCACCGTTGAGATGGTGTTAACGGTGGAGGAGAATTTCGAAGATGGCAACATGAAGCCTGCTAGAGCGAAAGACAAGACGTCGAATGAAAACAGAAGAAAAGGGCAAAAATCAAGGATTCCAAGGCCGTCGAGGATTCGTGAGAGAAAGATTTGGAATAGGATGTGAAGAAATCGGGTCAAGGTGTTGTCGGCGTGAAGAGGTTTAGAGCTTCTATTGAGAACTTCGATTTGACCTCATCGTCGACGGTTCTGACGAGGTTAATAACTATCTGGATATGGTCAAGGGACACGGCGGTGCCTTTTTCTAGGACAAGATGGTCGATGCGGCATCCGACAAGTCAATGGTTGTAGTCGACGTCTTATTTTGTTTGTAGTCGACGTCTCAGTGGTTGCCTTAGGGTGAACCCTCCACGCACTTGTTGAAATCCTTAGAACTCGGGCCTCGGTTGATAGCCTTAAAACTCGGGCCTTGGTTGGAATGCCCAGTTTTGAGGATGTGTAAATGCTTGAGGAGGGCCGAACGCTTGGGGAGATGCCGGTTATCGTCCATAATTCACCTCCGGGTCCTTCCATGAGAAATTCGCGTGGTTCCTCCATCCGGTGTTGTAAGTGTTTGAGTAAGAATTATTTTGAACTTGGGGAGCATACCCTTGCAGACATTAACATTAAAAGGGACCCGTTCGAAATTTGGCTCATAAGTGAGCTCCACATACCTCGGACAATCTCGAGCACCATGGCCTACATCACAACAACTCCCACACATCTACACCATGGCCACTTGAGCCGGTTTAGAATCTCTTAATCGAAGATATTTAAGCTCTTTCTCCTAAGAGGCTAATTTGGCAAGAACAACATCGTTAGAAGAAAAAATTGAAAGATGGTGTAGCTTCGTTCACGTGAGCTCTATTACGAACANTTTTTGGAAATTCTCACTAAGCATCTCGTAGAGCTCATATATCTCCTCCTCGATCGGTATGACTTCCTTTATCCCATCCGGTCGCGTGATCCACCATATATTGCAATGTTTGATGAAGTCCATCGTAAAATAGTTGATTTAAAACACCGAGGAAAAAGCGATGATGTGGGCATTGAAGTTGATAACCTGTATAACGCTCCCATGCATCATGAAAAATCTCTCCTGGAGCTTGACTAAAACTTGTCATTTGGGCCCGAAGGTCCGTTATCTTTTAATGGGAGTAATACTTCCCCATGAATTTCTTCAAGGTGTAAGGAAAGCACCGCATCCAAAGTTTGTTCTTATTAAGCCTTTGAAGAGGGAATATGTTGACTGTCACATAGAATTCTTGAATGAACTTCAAGACATTCTATTGAGGTAAGCTGTAGAAAGATGGGTGTTGGTTGAGGCGAATGGTCTTCAAGTCGTAATTCATCACCTTCTCATCAAGAACTAGGCTTCACATGTTGTCACCTATTATTGGTTGAGCAAAGTACCTCATATAGGCGGAGGTGGTAATTGTTCTCCTTGGTCCACCATAGTCGTCACCTTAGGTGGTTCATTGTCCATATTTAGCTCAACGTACAGTTCAATCAGCAGTGTCTCCCCTTCAGTACTACACCTTCGTCTACCTCGCATACACACAAACATGAAACTATACCCGTGAAGACACCAATGGGAACAAGAATCCAACTCAAGAAACCAACAAAAACTAATTACTAAATTATTAAAAATAAGAGAAAGCAAGAGAAACACGGAAATTAAGCAAAGAGCACAAAAATCAAGAGAAACACGTAAACGAAAGACAATTAGTAAGTAAATTTCGCATCCTACTTGCCTTCGTCAGCGACGACGCCATTTGTTTAGTATAATTTTAGCCAAGTACGATCAAAGATCTACATCATGTCATCTTCTCAAGGAAGGTGATTCGAAGCTTCGGTTACAAACTAGATGTCAAAAGCAAAAACAGAAAATAAAAATCCTAGACATTCTAAACGATTGGTTTTGGGAATGACTTAGACTAATTTTAACTAAGAATTTAAAAGCAATTAACTAAAGGTGCTAACTTTAGTTAAATATCTAAACTTGACCTAAACAGAAGTCTTCAAAACCCGAGAAAGAGCTAAAACAAAGAGAAACAAGCCACACCTAACACAACTAGATACTAAAGTCAAACAATTGATTGCGAAATAACTGACCTATAAACTATATCTCAGTTTTTACTTCAAAAGATTCGAACTTTAACTATCCAATTATACTACATAAGAAAAATAAAACAAAAGCTGGAAACTTTAATCAAAGAATATACATAACTCCGGCCGAGACACCAAAATTCACTTTGATTAACTTCATAATCAAAAAGGACAAAAAATCGAAGTAATAAATCACAAGCAAGGTAATTACCCTTCTTCT